CCCTCAAATAACAAGGAATAGTTTGTCAAATTGATTAGGAATTTTTGTAATTTCTACATTGACTAATAAATATTTTTAAAATTAAGTTTGTTCCCTAAAGTATGACTAAATGTAGTCATGCATTRAAACTTACAAAATATGTATTGAAATATGCCATAAATTTGCCTTTATTTACACAAAAATATGTAAATTAAAAAAAGGAAGAAATCATAGACAATTTTTGAAATAGTGAAAAATATCCATTCATATTTTCAATCATTTTACGTGGCTACAATTCTCATGCCATTTAATCATTTTATACAGCGAAAAAATATAACTAATTGCAATTTTCATCAAATTTTGGGTTTTCCATGGTATTTCAAAAAAAAAAAAAATCACATAAATATAATCACAACAAACGGAATATCAAAATTATGAATAATATGTCCAATAATAAAAATGAAAAATATGACAAATAAATTTAAGTACAAAAATAATAAAACTTCACATACTTAATGATGATACTTTGAAATTGGTTTTTTATACCATCTTGCATTAAGCACAGCTTGTCAAGATTGATATGCAAATGCTTGAACTTACAATCTCTGACTATTAATATTGTCTAAGAGGGAATAATTAAACTTTAACTATTATTATTTTATAGTTAGCTGTTGATATATTTACATCTTTTTAGTTTTTGGTAAAATTATGCTGCAATTTAAATGAGGTAATTTAAACTCGAAACCAATTACAAGAACTGTTCATGATAAAAATCAAATATTCTCAAAACATCTATAAGAGTTTTGTCTTTGTGGATCCTGGAGCTATAGACCAAACAAATAAAAGTGCTTTCAYACCTAAAATATACTTAAAAACACTTGAAATAAAATGTTTGCCTTACAAGAGTTATTCTATTATTTCTAGAAATTTAAACATTTAAGGACTAGCAAAATATCCAAATTTAACAGTTAAAAAAGTATCATTTTAGATTCTGAGCACACGCTTATCTTATCACTTATATTGAGCATTGACAATCTTTCAATATTTATGTTACATTTAGTGCATTAAATATTAGTGGTTAATTTAATTTACAATTAATATTTAAATTTTAAATTAAATATCATTAATTTATAACTAACAGCTGTTAAATATTTACCTTAACCCATTACTTTTATAAAGAAGTATTATACAGTTAACACATATTTGCATAAATTTTGTAGAACATAGATTTTTTTTCTATTATAATCAAACTAAAGGCAGTTAAAACAAAAAATATAATTAAATGCTTAAAAAAGGAGTATATTTGAAATTATTCAAGTACATTTTATATGATCTTATCAATGAAATTAATTTTACTGTTCGCAATTTGTTACTCATCAAGCAAAGGTCGAAATTGTCCATCTTTAGACCAAACATACCTTAAAACTATTTTGAATTGTGCCATTTTATGTCCGAAAAGTTTCTAAAAAAATAAATATTTATATATATTAATAATTTGTATGACTTTTATAAATGTTTATGTGTTATTTACAAGTAGTCTAGACTGTTCGGGTGTTATAATGCTTCCTTCTTTGCATATTGTATGACTTTTTAGAACTTGTATAACACCGCGCTGTAAACTTGTTGGTAAACCAAGCTGTCTCAATGAAGGTTCCATTGAATGGATAAATGTGTCTGGTAAAGGGCCTTCATCTAATGTTACTGTGTATGCAGCTCTAATACCAGCCCTGGGAAATTCTGGCTCAGAGTAGTTATCAAACCACCTAAACATTAAAATATTAAATCAATCAAATTTGAAAGATTAATAGATACAATTATAAATAATAAAATAAAGTAGGTATCTAACTCTATAACATCATCAACAGGTCTATTTGTAAATAATAGTCCACATTGTCCTTCGATTTGAAGAGCTAATTTATGTAAATTTGTTTGAATTTCATCTTGAGCTGATTTTCCCAAAGCGTATGCCATCACTTTATTTTTACCAAAAAAAAACCTAAGACCATATTATAATAAAATCACAAATTAAAAAAAAAAGTTCATTATATTTTAAGCAGTTATATAAAAATTACCTGCTATCTTTCCACTCATTTCGCACATCTTTTAATTTACCATTTCGCATGTTATCAGTATGGAACACAAATATGTGTTCATATTTATCAACAGCATCACGGAGATTTTCCATTACAGATTGTTTCAATTTAGAACCCAATTTGGTTGTCTTGGTTAATGAAACTAAGATAGAACACAAAATATTTAAATGAATATATTTTTATTATACTATTCAATATATGAAACCAGATACATAACATAACTTTTATTAAAATATAGTGAACGATAATAAATAAAAACAGTACTTATTAAAATAATATAATCTAGATTTGACATGAACATCGATAAAAAAAAAGTAATAGTTTATTCATTTAAAATGAATTTCATACAATTTATGAATTATATTTTATATTTCATTTCAAATATAAATTAAGACATATTCGTAAGTAAAATAAATACCTATAATAATTTAGTTTTGTAATTATTTTTTTTAAATATTAATAATAATAGGTGTGAAAATTATGATTTGTAATAGGTAGTTAAATTTTTCTATGAACCTTTAAAGACATTTTAGTTTATCATTACAAACTTACTCTTTTTATCTCTCTTTGACTTTGGCATTGTTTCGTAGTTTTTTTATAACTCTAGACGCAACTGAAACTTAAAAATTAATAGTACCTATTGTTTTGAGTAAGAACTAAGAAGTAAAAATTAAAATTTAAAAGTTGTTAAATTATGATAACCTTAAATTATATTATTTATTATCGTTATTGTCCATGTGGTATGATCACAAGTATTGATAATATTATCTTTTATAGTGAGTATGATAAAACTGTTGTGATAAAATTATTCTGTGATAATACAATCGGGAGCGATTGTTTGCGTGTAAGACATCTTTGGAATTATTTATGTTCAACAATTATTGATATTACTATATTATTAGGTATTTTGATAGAAAATGCTAATTTAAATAATATGTAATGCAAAAATGAAAATATTTATTTTAAGGCTACTCTAAGCGATTGAATTTTCCGTTTATTTAAGTTGACATTTAAATTTTAATTTGAATACTGATTTGAATCCTTTAGCCACTTTTATATGTTTTGTAAGAAAAATGTATTTTTATTTTTGGTTTTTGGCTATTTAAAGACTAAAATACGTAATATTATTTACTTACGACAAACTACGTTTGGAACTGAAGTACATAAGTGGTTTATTATTGGAGGAGGTCTTGAGGGGACTGAGTACTTCAACTAATTTTTAGGGCACTCAAGCGTACCCTACTTCTTTCTTTAAGGGAAATGTATGCGACGAGTTGTTATTTAAGCTAAAATATTACAAAATGTACTTCTGATAATTACAAATTGAATTTTAAATTTTAAATTATAATTATATTGATATTTGATATCTAAAATGTGATAGTTGTTAAGTAGCCATCGGGTGTATACTATAGATAGTATTTTTTAGTAAAAAGTTGGTACCTTGAGTATACATTATTATATTATATTATTATACATAATACATTTTATATGTTTTATAATATGTTTTCATTGATACGAGTTTCTTCATTTTTTATTATGCTTCTTAAGGACCTTAAAGGGTGGTGTTGGGATGACCTCCCCTCCTCGTGGTTATATGTGAGCTAGATTAAAATGATTGAGACGCTAATTAGTATAAATATAAAAATATAAGTTTAGTAATTTAAGTCATATCTAATAAAATGTAAATAATATAAAAAAAATATATAAAAATATGAAATAAAAAAATGAATTTCATAATAATTTTTCTCATACAAAATAATAAACGATAGATTATGTTTACTGGGGTTATTTATTTGGGGAATTTTACAGGTGTGCTATTTAATACCTATGTTTAACTATTTATGTTCGTAGACTCGTAGTTGCCTCGTCCGCCCGCCAGGCACGGCGAGTCACCGAATTAAACTCTATGGGCCACTTAAAATCTAAGTCAATTTTTGAAAGGTTCATTTGAAAATGGATCTTTTATGGCCGGTTAAAACCTAAAACTCGGTGGACCTTGTCTATCTGACGCTGCCGTCCGCACTCCGCAGTCTTGTCTCTTGTGATGGAGAATCCTCACTCACACTAAGAATCATTTACGACTAAACCACGATCGCGGACAACAACGAGATAATAAATTGCCTAAATGTTGCCCCTTAAACAATAGCCACATAAAAATATGTTTCTACTATCTGTCACTTATTAATGTCGTAATAATACTAACGTCTAATTATATACTAGTGACTAGTTAATAATTACTATGTACCATAAAGCATATTAATATTAAACAATAATAAGTGTAATATCCTAATGTATTATATATGTTATTTACACTACACATAAATATATTATATATTATAGTGTACAGTTAGTACTTTTTTTTTTTTTTAATTTGCCTTTTATTAAAAAATAATTATAGCAATGCAATTATAAAATAATTATGCAGTTTAGTACTTATACTAATACTACTTAACTAGTTTTTCTAAATTTTTGTTTTAAATCAATGAATCTATAGTCTGAGAATTAATTAATATTCTTTATTTACGATGAAAATGATTGAACAATTACATTTGGACCATCATACTTACTTGTTTAATGAAACTTATTAAACTTCAAAGTTTGTTAATTGAAAATTGGCATTCATTCTTTCATKTTCCTTAGCGAGTTACATTTACCTATTCAATATTTTATTTTAATTAGCTTTTATCAGTGACTATTACAGATACTTATTGAATAATAAATAATTATTAAAAAAATAAAATTCATTAAAAAATAAATAAACATTGAGAATTTGTTCATTCATTTTTAGATTCAATATCTTGAAACATATTTTGTAGAAAAAATGTAAAACAAGCTTCGGTATTCATTTGCATTTTGTTTCCTTTATGATATTAGATTGATTTCTYCAAAAACTTCTCTTAAATTTGTGATTAGTACTTATTTTAGTTTTTTTAAAAATATTTTCACAGGTGTTGCTCCGATGACATCTTTTTTACCAACAATCGCAAAACAATTGGGATATTCTACAGTTGTAGTTGGTACAATCTATAGTATTTTACCGATTTTAAGTTTAATAATAAAACCTATAATTGGTGCAATCGTGGACCAATTCCGGGTTAAGAAATTAATATTCTTAATGTTTATATTACTATCCGGCCTAACAGCATTTTCACTGATGTTTGTTCCTTCAATACCTCTGGACTCTTCAGTTGAACTAAATTGCAATTCTGCCACATATTTAAATGTTTGTCCCGAAGATAATTTATCTTTGTCGAATTGTTCCTATAAACGAGTTACAGATGTTATTGTTGATAAATTTGGTTGTGAGGTAAGTATTAATGTTTATATTTTTTCTCTACTTACTTATTTATTAAATGTTTCATTGATTATATATTTAATTTTAGTTAAAGTGTAAGAACAGTGTTCATTTTTCTAATGAAATGTGTTCAAATTGGGGATTTAATGACTATTGCGAATTATCAAATTCATCTAGTATTAATAATATTGAATATTACGAGCCAAACAGTACACAGATAATTAAACCAAGATCAAATAAGAATTATTATAATGATGATTATGTTTACTTATTTGCAATGTTGGAAATGGCCCATTCTCTTAAAGTTAGTATACAATTTTGTATTCTAATAGATGTATATTTTGTCCCAATAGGTAAGTTTAACAATTATGGTCAATCATTTTAAAATTTTAGGTTGAAAATTGTTTATACTTCAGAATATCATCTGCAAGTTTCTATTTTAATAATTCCGAAGTAATTAAGCACACACCGGTTTGTAATAGTAGTTTAAGATCACAATGTCAAATACAATGTAACAGTGAAGTCATTATGGATTTAATAATTCCTCAAAAGTTTAAAGGCAGTGTCTTAGAATTAAGTCAATTCTGGATATTTTTTCTGTTAATAAGTCTGTTTTGGGTTTGTCAAGCTATTATCTATAGTCTTGGTGATTCTATTTGTTTTGATCAACTAGGTAAGGGCTTAAGTTAATATATTTTATATAATATCTCAATCTTAAATTGTAATGTATTTATTTTATTATAGGTAATAAGCCTAATATGTATGGCAAACAAAGATGTTGGGGTGCTATTGGATGGGGTATTTTTTCAATATTTGCTGGATGGCTTTTAGATCTTTTTAGTTCTAGTGAAGTAAATAAAAACTATCTACCAATATACTATTTATGTTTACTGGTACTGCTTGGAAACTTTTTTGTTGCATCAAAACTTGAGGTAATTATTACTACGATTAAATTTTCAAAATATGATCATTAATTATATCTAATATTTATTAATTAAAAACTTCAAATTTAAGGTGACAGAAACAAAAATATCAACTAATATATTTAAAGATTTTGGAAAACTGTTAGTGGAAATCAAGGTACTAGGATTTCTTACTTGGGCAATAGGTGTTGGAATTTGCACTGGAATGATTTGGCAATATCTGTTTTGGTAAGTAATTAATTAAAAAAATAATACATGGTAAAGTATCAATGTACAAAACATAAACATAAATATAGGTAATAGGTTAACTTTATTGGTTGGCATTTAAATTTCATTTTTATCTTTTTTCTTTGTAGTATCACTACTAAGTACTAGGAGACCGAAACTTTTGTACATTCCCTTCTCCCAATTGTATTGCTTATCGACCCAATATTTACAATGTGAGATGATCAGCCCCAGACTACTTTCCTTAGTGTGTATTAGTGTGTATGCATTCATGAGGCTCTGCAGTATGCACAATTTGAAAGGATTTGGCTAAACCCAAAGGGGATAGATGAGGAGGCACTGCCTTAACTTCTTTACAGATTATGCAATTATTTATGTTAACAAAAGACAGTTGGAACCAATCTCTTCTTATCARGTTGAATTTAATCTGCCTCCTTAAACAACCATTCAATGAATACTCTTAGCTAGCCATTCTATCTCAAACTAATGACCTACTTCTAAGATTTTATTGTTATCTAGTTCCTAACAACCACAGTTTTGTCTACTTTATTCGTAAAAATTTAAAATATTACATTCATTGTTTGGAAATTTGGTCATAAAATATCCATAGTTAATATTTATAATTTATATATATATACATTCATTTATATAGTAAATTTATATTATAGTTTAATTTTGGTTTTTCACTTATATTAGGTACGTTGAAGATGTAGCTTCTATGAATGAATGTAATACTCAACATTGGATTAAAACACTGCAAGGTTTAATATCAGGAGTTCAATGTTTTGGCGGTGAAGTGCCATTCTTTTTCTGGTCAGGCTGGATTATAAAACGTTTGGGACACTTGAATTGCATGTCTCTTGTTTTGGGAGTTTTTGCTTTTAGATTTTTTGCTTATTCAATTCTTACAAATCCAATTTGGGTACTCGTTATTGAGTTAACTAATGGAATTACTTTTGGGTTAGCATATGCTGTACTTATGTCGTATGCTAGTATACTCGCACTCCCTGGTAGCGAAAGTACAATGATAGGACTCGTTGGTGGAGTTTTTGAAGGCATTGGTAACTATTTCAATCTTTTATTAAAAATATAAGTAGATATTAATTAATATTGTGCAATTTATATCATAGGTGTATCCTTGGGTAGTCTAATAGGTGGCTGTTTATACGACAAATATGGTGGAGCTGAAACATTCAGATTATTTGCATATGGTTCTGCATTACTGTGTGCAATTCATTTGTTATGTCAAAAAGTTCTGAAAGCAAATAGAAAATTAAGCCTGCCAAGTAAGTAAATCTTAAATTAATAACTAATAGGGTACTTATTTGTTATCTCAACTACCATCTAGAGAATTTTGAACTAAGGAACCCTTAGTTATAGAATGACTAACTTATAAGAAATATAAAAACAAAATAAAAACCAGAAAAAAATGATGATGGGTGATATAAAAATATTTATTAAATTAAAATTCTATATAATTTATAATTTTTTAATTATTTAATTACATAATTGTGATCATTTCCGTCAATGCCATCGCTTGGTTTTCATATTTATTTTCGGACAATTTAAAATTCTACAGCAGTGCAGTGCATTTGTAAACACACCAGGGTACACACTTTGAGAAAAGTCCCTGKAGCTGGTATACACATTACACACACAATACGGTCAATCATGCTATTAATTTTGTGACCCAGTTAGTGTGTCCCATACTTGGCACATTGAATGTATTTGCAGTTCCGCTAAATGGAGATAATATAAAGAGTATCAAGTAACCCATATTACATCATACTTCATCATTTGGTATCATAATTTGATTCATGTTTTATTTTTGTATATATAAAGGAAATTGTAATCTTGGAAAATATTTAMATTTTTAAAACTTGATGTTAATTTTAAACAAATTACACACATATGTAAACTTTAATGTTGTTACTTATTTAAAATTTAAAATTTTTATGTTACATAATTTAAATACCAAATGAATGAGAGCAATCTAAAGTTTATAGTCATATTATGTGTTTTTATCAGACATAGTAATAAATTAGTGTATTGGTTATTGTTTGAAAATTATTCTATTATACTAAAAACATATAAAACACAATTCCACGATAATTTAAATTTTTATTTATATTTGTAACTTTAGTTGAATGTATTTTACTAAAAGTGACATTGTTTCCAACAATGTATTTATTTAAATTAACAAATCACTAATTTACAATAATTTTGTTATTTTTAATGAGAAACCAGAAATAAATGATAGTAAAATTTCAGTCTTCAACTTGTTCTCATTCAATTTTTTTGGAAATAAAAATATATTGATTAAACAATATAGCTAAATTTAAATCTATAATCTATAATTAGGTATTTGAAAAAGAAATCTTTCATAGTACATTGTAAAGTTCAAAGTTTGAAATATTTCAAAAATTTGTATTATTTTTATTTATAATAACACCTACTTAAAAAAAAAAACAGATTCATATTCATATTCCACAAAAGTATTATGCTTTTAACTTTTAACACATTATGTTGATATTTATCGACTAATCGTTTCAAATTTTTAAATATTTTAAACCTTTAAACGTAATTTTATCAGTGATTAATTAAAAAAATATGTCCATGGCATATATTTATATCTAGCATATTATTATTAGGTTACAATTTTGAAGAAGTACAAAACAACATATCCCATTTTAAAGAAACAGGTACCTCAAAGGCTTATTTAACTAAGTTGTGTTTTTATATTATTTAAAGCTATATAGAATACATTGTTTTAAATGTATTATTTAATTTATATTAGTTTTATTGTAATATTGAATGCTATGGATGTTAACAATTCAGTGTTGGGTTACTCTAGTAATTAAGTTATTTTTCTTGTAATTCAAATAATATTGAAATAAGTCTTTCAAATAATATTCTAATAAAATTATTTAACTTTTTAGATAGGAAACGTAAATTTGTTTTTTTCATATTACAAAAAAAAAATCTTTACATTGGTCTTTCTTATCAGATCATGGACAATCATTTTAAGTACAAATAGTGTTTGGATATAATTTGAATAAGATTTTGTCAATATGAAATTAATTTTTAAAAGTTAATTATGTAAATTACAGTGTCTATAAACAAGTTGTCCAAAATTTTTAAAACTGAACTGTGACAATTTAAAATTTAAAATAACATTCATCCATTGTATATATTTATAATTATAGTATTATCATTTTTCATGCATTTAATTTCAATAATTATTTATCAAAAATAATATTTTTGTTACTTRGAGAATTTCCAACAAAATCACACAACATGTTACTTTTGTTACGTTATCACCCAACACTGTTAATATTATAGTTTTGTCATGTATTAATAATAGTATGTACTTGATTATTTTAATTTGTTTTTGCGTTAAAGATTTTTTGTGWATAGTTAATTGCTGTTATGATTAACTTCTACAGTAGTATTGATGAATTAGGAAAAACATATTTTTTAACTTAAAATATAATTTAAATATGATGATTTATTCTTTTTTACCCCAAAAAAATAATTAAATTAGGAAGAATAGTTCAAATTATCAGAATTTTAGCATAAATAATGTATCTTAAATATTTTTCATATAATAAAACTAGCTTCCCATGATATTTATGAAAAATAATCAATGCTTTAGTAATTTTTGTTTATATTAGTTATGCATTAATTTTGTATTTGAGAAATTTGTTCACATTATATAATAAAAAAAATATTGGAAAATTATTTTTTCTGATATTGCGCCAATGATATAAATAATATTTTTCTTTCTTTCATTTCTACTAAAATTACTGAATATTTAATTTTTTTTTATTGTTACTTGTTTTTCAAAAGTTATTTATTATAAAAATGTTTATTGTTAAAAAATACTTGACTGTATTAGAAGAGAATTGATTAAAGAATGTTTTATTTTATAAAAAGTTGATCACCCCTGACCCCAGATATTATCATATTATAAAATATATAGCATAGATGCCTTGATCACTTTTTCTTATTTTGTTAATTTTGTAATTATTATTCTTACATAAATTATTATTATCCTTTGATTTAGTAAGTTATAGATTTCCAAGTCCAAATAAAAATGAACTGCTATGCTTATCAGTTCTTTTAGTTTCACAATTATAAATTTTATGTATTTTTTCAGATTTTATTGGCGGGTCAACTGAATACGCCAGTCCAAATGAAGCTATTCATATGCTGATTGATAATTAAATAAATTTTTTTTCAATGTTCCTACTCAATTGTTTCATTTCATTTTTATTTTAAAAATGAAAAGAAAGAAATACTTAATTTASAGAATTTATACCTATTATAATACTATATTTTGATTTTTAACAATTTTTAATGGAATGGGCAGATATTGAAATTATTAAAATTTTTAGTATATAAAGCAAAATGACATGATATGAATTGAGCATAGTATTTGTTAGGAATTATTAAAAATACTTTTAAATTTAACCAAAATTCTATTGAACTAGAAAATATTTAACCTACAAATATGAGTATTCCTTATTTATAACCAAAATTTGTGTCTTAGTTCTTAACCATTTTTAGTTACTTTTTTWAAAATTTTTTGGTATCATTATTTTAATTTATTTTATTACATTATCTTGATATCAATTATATATTCATGATACACTAGAATATTTATATTATAATTTGTTAGTTATACTAAAGTTATTTTTACATATAGTGTATCATTTCAAGATTTACTAGAATCAGCGGCGGTGCAGGTTTTTGTGGGGCCCTGGGCAGATGTTTCTTTTGCCCTACCCTTCCACCGGCACTGGATAGAATTCGTACTTTATTTTATTATTTTTATATTTTTATAATTAGTCAGTTATAAAATAATAAAACAATTTTTTTTTTTTAAATTATTCAATATTTGCCCAAAAGTAACAGTATAGCTATWTAGCGACTTTGGTTTTTGTTTTTATGTAATTTTTGTATACAATATTGTATTTGTGTAACTGTTATAGTTTTGGTTTTATATGGTGCTATAGATAAAYTATGTAATTTGCTTGAAGCACAACATATTTACAGGGATATTTAAAAAAGACAAACATCATTAAATTTGTATTTATTTTTAATCAATCATTACCTCTGATTATTATAAGTTACTCATTTAGTATAGTATTTAAGTTCTTAATGATATAATTTTGGTGATATTGAGTAATTTAAAGATTCGTCACAATTGATTATAATCATCGATATGAAAAACGGTTTTATTATATGTTTTGTTCTTTAGTATTAATTATATMATTAATACTTGTTTTTTATTAAAGAAAAATATATCAAAAAGTTGTGTTTAAGTGTACCTACCTATGTATATAAAAATTCACTTAATCTAAATATTAATAATATCTAATGTGTTATTTTTTAAAAAATCAAACCAGTTTTTATTAAAAATAGAATAATAATGTATCATACAAAAATTATAATTTATTAACTATTTAATTTAAAATATTTACCCTTAAAGTACAAGCATAAATACTTATTATGTAAATTCTGTAATATTTATATTACAATTTAATGTCACCACCTCCTACCTTACTAAAGATGCACTAATTTTCACTAAACTAAAAATAAATAAATTCATAGTGCACAGTTATGACTTATTCAATGGCGATATGTAGTCAACACATTCGATTCTAACTGTACAGCAGAGTGGTTATCTACTTTCCCGCTTTTTATTTTTTTGCTTCCATTAAAAAATAATATTTTTTTCTTTTTACACCAGATAATTTCGTTTTCCAACTAGAAAAGACACCTTAAGTTGAAGATTGAAATTTTTTTTCCTCCAAAATGTGATGACAGGACAGTGACAGTCACAATAAATAAGAATAATATTTAGGTTTCTAGACCAATTTATGCGTCATAAAACAATAACAAGTTACGGTACAATACCAGTTTTGTCTATTGATTTTTGTCTCTTATACTAGCTWTACAATATAATATACTATTACAGCTAAACTTTGGTAGGTAAGACGGAATCCTTGATACAGTGGCGTAGTTATGATTTTGTTCTGGGGGGGGATATATAATTTATTGGCTAAACATAAAGTGGTACTACGCCCCCCTCCCCACACCCCCAACAGTTCTTTTAATTTTTTTAACATAATTCTATACACAGTTAAATTGCACTTATTTATTACCGCCAGTACACCGTATACACTATACAATTTAGTATCTCCCCACCRCTCTTGTTTGCTATTGCCCCACCATAAATAAAATAAGCAATAGAAATTTTGGCATAAATTCACTTTAGCTACCCAGCACATTTTTTGAATTTTTTTTTCGAAATATACGCATTTCAGCTAGTTAAGAACGATGATGCAAAACAAAAATTTAAGAAAAATATATTGTGCTATTAATACTACTTACACATTAAAAATAAATAAATAGTAATTCAAAATTCAAAATTAAAACATGTATTACACTCTAATATATAAAATAAGATCATAAAGAAAATTGTTTCTTGGTTTTTTAGCTAACTAGTTAATTATTTCCTCTGTGTCAATGTGTGCATTTTTGTGACAGCTAACATGSTTACAGGTTAATCCATTCAATCGATCTTATATAAAATGTATAAGTGGATTATATCCATGATTATAATTTATGACATAATATGGGTAATTTTATAACCAAGTAATCATATCAGTACCTATATAAGTCAATGCATTAAAGTCAAAAGGCTCTGGGGGGATCTATGATCTATCCACATCATCCCCCCCCCATAACTACGCCACTGCCTTGATAATACGAACAATTTATATGGTGCCGATTCAAACAGCGTATGTCGTTTTCGCAAAAAAAAACTCGATTTTCGTTTCCGCCAAAACGAAAAAGGTTCGATTTTCATTTCCGCCAAATCTACTTAGGTATACCTGTTGAACTGATTGAAACATTGTCGTTATCAACATAAACAGTTGTGGTAGGTACAAGTTTTGGTGAAACAGCGATATTATGAAGTATTTGTTTGGACCGACTTGTACGAAAAATTAAATTTGAACCCATCAAACACAATCATTTTTTCACCACATTTATTGGTAATGAATTCCATTACGTAAAATGCATTTAAAATTTAAAATGTTTTTATTTAAAAATTGTAATTGTTATTATTTTATTTATAATATATGTAGGTTTTCTAGTTTCTACGTTTAAAATCAATTATCTCTTTATGATATCTTCAATATTAAATGGTCATTGTTAAATCAACGGTCGATGCACTACAGATATGCTAGGGCCTAGGAGTTCTCAAACTCCAAGTCAATAATATAGGTAGAAATAGATTTGGTGGAAATGAAAATTGAACCTTTGAGCCCCCTGTCAAGTCGGAAATTCCGTTAAGACATTGGACGATCTTGAGTGATTTCGTCTTAGCGAGGTTTTAACTTTTTCTGCAGCACTACTCAGTGGCGCCAAAGTTCAACATTTTACCAATGACATTACTACATTAGACACCTCCACATAAAATTTTGATACACTTATTTCTTATAATTACATTAACATACATCAAGTATAGTTTTTTATAATATCGACTTTTAGTTCTTTAACTGCAATTCTTCATTAACTGTAATGTCTAATACAATCATCATAATATATTTAGAATGACAAAGATAACCCTCCTACTTACTAAAATCATCTATGACCAGTCATACTTACCTACATATTATTTTGACGCCACTGGTACTATTAGTAGGTACCTACTAATATTAGTACGTCTTACATCTTATACATTATACATACGACTATAGAGTATAGATAGCAAATAATGTTACATCATATTATTCTTAAATTATGTAATAATCTTATATTCTTATACATAATAATAAGATAATAGTGATCTAGGCGATTCAAGCGCTCTCTACTAACGCTACCTTATTTTAAAACTTTCTGGCAACAGACTTTAGAATGTTGATGACAATAATATTGTCATCAAGTATCAACACAATATTATGTAAATGTATTTATAATTGAATTGTAATAAAGTGTGTTAGGTACCTACTTACTGATTGGTATACAATTTGATTTATTTGTATTAATGTAAACGTATATTTGTATAATATTTTTAAGAATATCTACCTAGACAGCTACGATACGATGAAAATTACAAGTACCAATTTATTATTTTTGTTCATGTCTCCTATAATGTATTCACCAAGTCTCAATATTATAACTATAGAGGTATGTAAAATATTTTATATACATATCCA